ATGAAAGTGTCTTTCAATTTGTGGATTAAAAGGATTTAAAAAGGAATCTTTAGTGAATTTGACTATTGGAATGAAAATGGTATGTTTAAATGCAATTTAAAAATAATAATAATGTGGGGTGATAAATGCTCAGATAGTTTTTAATCTGATCCAAGCAAAATTGTTATTGCTTGACAAAATGAGTAACGGGCATTTTGTGTGTTTCTGGTAGTTGCCATTTTTCTTTAGTGTACAGGTAGTCCTTGACTTACAACAGTTCATTTAACGACCGTTCAAAGTTACAACAGCACTGAAAAAAGTGACTTGCGCGTTTTTCAAACTTTCAACCATTGAACATCCCCATGGTCACATGATCAGAACTGAGATGCTTGGCAAGGGGTTGATATTTATGACGGTTTCAGTATCTTGGGGTCATGTGATCACCTTTTGCGACCTTCTGATAAGCAAAGTCAATGGGGAAGCCAGATTCACTTAACAACTGCGGCCAGGAAAGTTGTAAAATGGAGCAAAATTCACTTAACAAATGTCTCACTTAACAACAGAAATGTTGGGCTGAATTGTGGTCATAAATCGAGGATTACCTATACAAGTGGTGGGTGCATTTTGGAAGGAATGACTGGCAGCTGCTACCGTAACTATTATCAGAACAGAGGCCTATTCTTTTACCATTACTGTCAACAAAAAACCTAAACAGATTTTTTTTTAACTTTAATGCCATTTTGAAAAAAAAAAAAAGGACTTTCCTTGTATGTGTCTAACAAGCAAACAAACAAAAAATAATATTCACCCATGTATATTGACCTTTGACAACATAAAGCTTTTTTTGTTTCTGAGAGTCGAAGCGCGCCTGCTCAGAGAAGTTTGGGTGGTGAAGACCAATTGTCCTATGTCCATGTCTTCGTTCTCAGCAATCATTCCAGAGAGATGGAAGCAATCCAAATATATCCCCCAAGACAAGTTTTCTTGTTCTTCTTCCCTTTTCATCCTGCAGGGTTGAAAAAAAAAAGTAACGGATATGCCAGATATATGGAAAATTAAGCTGAAATCCTATATTGCTAGTCCTTTGATTCCTACGTTTAAAAAGCTGTGGGAAGAGTTGGAATCTCAGAGAAAGCCCCTTCTGTCATTGGGTATTCTTTGGTTGGTGTAAAATGTGCATTGTTTCCTGGTATCTGCCAGCATATTTTAGAAAGTGCATCTGATTTTTGAGAGATTTTAAAAAAGGATTCCAGATCCAGATTACTGGGTAACTAAAACAGCTGTCTGTTGAAAAGACAAAGAAGGCATAGTTTGTCCCTTAATATTGTTGTTGTTGTTTAGTCAGTGTGCCTGTCTCTTTATGACACCATGGACCGCAGCATGCTAGGCTCCCCTGTCTCCCTGAGTCTCTCCAAACTTACTCCACTGCGTGGATGACACAATCTAACCATCATCATCCTCTGCTGTCCCCTTCTCCGTTTGCCTTCAATCTTTCCCAGCATCAGGGTCTTTTCCAATGAGCCCCCTCTTCTCATTTGGTGGCCAAAGTACCTGAGTTTTGCCCCTTAATATAATGTGGGACAAAAGCCTCTATAAAGAGCCTTGGTGGAGCAGTGGACTAAAGTGCTGTTAAGTAGCACTTAGCTGCCAGCTGCCTGCAATTCCTGCGAGTTCAAATCTCACCAGGCTCAAGGTTGACTCAGCCTTCCATCCTCCCGAGGTAGGTAAAATGAGGACCCGGATTGTGCAGGCAATAAGCTGACTTTGTATAAAAAAGAACATCGCTTAGGGGGTCCGAAAGCCCTACTAAGCAGGTATATACAAAAGTATGAAGGCTATTGCTTAACACATTGTAAGCCGCCCTGAGTCTCCGGAGAAGGGCGGCATATAAATTGAACCAATAAATAAATAAATTTTACTTCCTCCCTATGTATTGGAGCTCCCAGTATAACTTTTCCTTTTCTTAGGGGATGATCAGGATTCTTAATATTCAGCTCACATCCTGTGATTATGTGTTCTTGCAGCAGTCATCTTCCTGTTGCATATTTTTCCATCGGGCCCTTCTGAACATTTGTCTGTATCCTTTAATAATAACTAAGGTGATGAGGATTACGATTCTGCTTTTCTTAAATATTTGGTTTTGCTTGAAGCCATAATTAACTACCGAATGTTAAATAGGTTGCTCCTCACGGTGGGAAGGACGGCAAGTCCATTAGCGTACTTAGCAAATCAGAACTAAGTTTCTAATAAAAGATTATACAGATTGCCTTGTGTAATAACTGCGTAAGAAGAGCATTTAGGGCAAGGAGGAGGTTACACTGAAGAGATGTGTCATAGCTATAGACTTCTTGAATGCAGAAGAAGCTGTTATGGAAAATAGCACAGTCCATGCATAAGAATAAGAGAGCAAGAATCAATCCAGGTCTCTGACATGGCAGGCTGATTCCCACCTGGCAGTCAGAAAAGACAACATGGGTAATCCCAGAACCTTTTGACAGTGGCTTAGACCGAGGCTATATTCGTCTGTCTCTTCTACTGACAGACAACTGTTAAACAGATTGATTCTAAATGTATTCAGCCCTCAATAGAGGGGGTAAAATATTTCCCAAATATTTGTGTGCGTGTAACTGTGATCTGTCATGCATGGGAAGATATCATGAATGGTCTGCCCCAGCCTGCTTTAGATCAGGTTGTCTGAATTGCTGAGAATTTTTCCAGGCATGGCATTTGAGGATTCCTCAGGCTGGAAAACATGTGAAGTGGAGATAACAGGAGATGTAACCAACACAATTGTATTTATTTATTTACTTACTTATTTACTTACTTACATACTTAGACTTCTATGCCGCCTATCTCGCCAAAGCAGCTCTGGAAGGAACCAATTTCCTCAGACTTTCATGCCTTGTTTTATATGTGTAATTCGTGTCCTCCTTTCTCCAGTATAAAACATCAAAATCTACCCACGGGAAAAATCCCAGAACTAGCATTTTCCTGGAAACTTCTTTCCTTCCTCCCCAATAATGAGGTTGTGCGGCCTTTGCTTTCTCTTCCTTTTTTAGGAAGATCATTAGTAGGTAGGATTGCTAGGCAATATGTTTATATCATCCAGCTCAAATAACCAGTGGTGGTTTGTACTATCTTCTAGAGAAAGTGCTTCATTTTTTTTTTCTTAACAGTTCTATAATTAAGATAAGGTAAGCTGATTGGAAGCTAAGCAGGGTCAGACCTGGCTAGGGGTTGGCTAGGCAATCTCCAGAGAATAATTGGGTTGTAGGCTAAATTGGGCATTTTAATGCATAAAAACATTTGCATTGCTGCTAAGAAATCTATGTGGCTGTGTCCATGAAATCACTAGAAGTTGAACTCCACCTGAAGGAGATTATCTTTGCAAACCAGAGAGCACCAGAACTAAGTAAATAAATCTGATCACATAAGCAGGGGGGTGGGGGGGAGAGAGAGAATTTGTTGTTACATGACAACTGATACACTTTGGCTTTATTCTTCTCTGGAAGACACTTCGTGAGATGCAAAATGTGATGTAAATAAGCCACACTATGTTGATGCGTGAGATAGCTCTGGCAGGATCTGGGCACAATCTTGTTGCTGGTGGAGTTTTCTGAGTATTTGCTTCTCCAGAAACCTCATCTATTCCATCATTGGACTTGGCTTCAATATCTGATGAGGTTGAAATAGCTGTGTGGGAGACTGGGTGTGCCAGCTTCTTCTTCTGGACACCTTTAGCATATGGTAAGAGCTCCTGCTGTCATGTTCTATTCTCCACTGTCCTGCCTGTGATCAAGAAAGAAACCTGGAACAGAGTAGCATCTGGAAGTGACCCAGTCAAATAGAGGAAGACTGTAAGAGGAAGGCTGCTTACAATATGTGTTCCTGCAAATGTTATTGGAACTGTTAGTAAAATTCAACTGGGGCTGACCTTGAGAAGTCTTAATTAGCCCAAAAGACCAAATTATAAACATTCCAAGGGACAGCCACTTTTCAATGACCTTCTGCTGACTTCTGATGTTCACCTGCCTGAATAGTTCTTCTTTGTTCCTGTTATACAGGAATGTACGCTATACTTTTTCAGAAAGGCCTTGCTGAAAAATGAATGCTTTCTCTGGGGGTTTTTTCAGGGGCTGCCACAAAGAAGAGGGAGTGAAGCTATTCTCCAAAGCACCTGAGGACAGGACAAGAAGCAATGGGTGGAAACTAATCAAGGAGAGAAGCAACCTAGAACTAAGGAGAAATTTCCTGACAGTTAGAACAATTGATCAGTGGAACAACTTGCCTCCAGAAGTTGTGAATGCTCCAACAATGGATGTTTTTAAGAAGATGTTGGATAACCATTTGTCTGAAGTGGTGTGGGGTTTCCTGCCTAAGCAGGAGGTTGGACTAGAAGACCTCCAAGGTCCCTTCCAACTCTGTTATTCTATTCTATTCTGGTTTGAGTTATGTGCCTATGTTATGTAAACACACATAAGCATTTTATGTAATGCAGTTCTGTACAAATCCAGCTTTTCTTAAATAGAAATCTTATGTGCTACCATGAAATATACTATATTATATATATATTCAGAACATTCAGTTCCAGGAGCACCCATGGAATGGGTGGAGAGAAGAAAGAATTTGAGAAGTAATTGAACAGCCCTGGCCTTTGGCTGGTTTTTTTCCTTCCTCCATAAATATCACTTGCAGGCAATGAGAAAGGTATAATAAACTAGAAGGGCATATCAATCCATAGTAGCAGATAATTCTTTCCTCCTTCTCTACTGTTTTCAATGTTGGCTTATTAGGCAGACTTCATAAGTGGTTATATTGCTAATATTTCTGAGAGCGTGCACCAAGCTGTCAAAGGACATAACCCACTCCTTTAGAGAGCCCAAATTTGCATTATTGGATATTAGGACTGCTGATGGCAAGACTCACACCTAAACAGATGCTGATCAAAAAAAAAAAAATTGATTCAGTGACAATAATCAAAACTGATGTCCCAAATGCCTTTTATTGTTTCTCTGCTTTAGAAAGACTTGAGACCTCGTCTCTGCCAGATGAAGAAGGGCCCCAATGGGTACGGGTTCAACCTCCACAGTGATAAGACAAAACCAGGCCAATACATCCGGGCTGTGGATCCAGATTCTCCAGCTGAAGCTTCAGGGTTGCAGCCTCAAGACCGTATCATTGAGGTATGTATATTTTTGGGAGTGGGGGGTTCATTGTTTGTTGCACATTAACGTTTGACTAACCTAGATGCTGTTTGCTCAAAGAAAACTGATTAAATGGAAGTTGTGATCCAAGAGTTTTGCCAGCTTAGCCATTTCTGGGCTTTTTGAAATCACCTCATACATCTCGCTATTTTTAAGCCAAATAAATTTGCCAGTGAACTTGTGGAATTAAAATACCCATTGTCTGATTTGAGACTAATTATTTTTTATATAGTATTTCTATACCCTGCCATAAAGCATGTAACTGTGTCTTCCCCAAATGCCTTTACCTTGCAAATAAGTAGAATTCTATTTCTTGTCTGAGACCATTTCCTCAAAGATCCTTGTAGACTATTTTAACGTATTTTAAGATAAATTAAGACCTTCGTTCCTGGGCTCCTTTCACAATGGCAATCTCACCTGGCAGCAGGGTTCACCTGGATACTTTTAGCATAGGAGCTCAGTGGATCCACCTCCGTGATACTTGTTTAGAATCTTCAAATTGTCATCACTAATTACAGCACCATCCAGCAAGGCATGTCCCTGCCCTGAGGAATTTGCCAATTAAATTGGAGCATGAAAAAGCAATAACAGAAGATGTTGGAGCAAAAGATAGCAGGGGAAGAATAGGCTTATGATTTAAAAGAATATCCTTGAGTCTTAACATTGGTTTCAGCATGAGCTTAAACCTGAACTTCTCGATGGACAGTGTCATAAGCACAAGAGGATAGATTGGATGTTGATAACCCAGGCTCAGTTTCATGCCAAATGGCCTCTTTTAAAGATCAGAAGAGAAATGCCAATGGTAGGGAAGTTACGACCAAGTCTGGGAACCAAAGACAAATAGATCTTCCGCACTGGGTCATTTCACAGAAAGGCTTTGGAAGGGCTAAGTTAAACAAAGATAACTTCTCCACACTGTCCAGGGATTCGTAAAGGAGGGAGATTTTTCTGAAGCAGTCACCGTTGGATTGCGCAATCAAAGGTGTCAGGCATGCATGACTAGAGATGAGGTTACGCAACACTGTAGATATGTGACATTTTATACAGACTCCTAACTACCCACTTGCATAGAGGCCTTCACAGCATGAAATTCTGTTCCAGTCTTTAGGGAGAAACGAGCATGAATGGCACTTTTTGGAGGATATGAGTTTAGCCACATGGAGTAGAAGGTGAAGGCTAAGAAGGCTATTCCCTATATCAGTGGTGGTGAACCTATGGCACGCGTGCCAAAGGGGGCACTCAGAGCCCTCTCTATGGGCACGTGCGCTGTCACCCCAGCTCAGAGTTTGCCTGAGTTCATTACTAGAAAGCCAGAGGGACATGGGGCCAAGCTGCTTCCCTCCCCCTCTCCATGCACGCCTGAGGACATTTCTCATATCACCCGCCCTCTGCCCAGCAGCCCAATGGGAACGCTTCCTCCCTTCCCTATCTGGGGTAAGACGGGTGGCTCACATGCGGCGTGAGGGTGCAGTATGGACAGCAGTCTGTTGAGTCTGGGGCGAAGGTGATTCCCATGGTGGAGAGGCGCTAGGTTGGAGGTCAGCATAGCTCACAGCGTGGCATAGCTGCAGGGGAGAGGAGCTGGAGGGGAGCAGAGATGGATGATCGAGGTCTGCATACCTCCTGTGTATGGGGAAATTGCCGTGTTGGCACTTTGCGATAAATAAGTGGGTTTTGGGTTGCCGTTTGGGCACTCAGCAGAGGTGGATTCTACTTACCTTTACTACCAGTTCGCATCGGGGCTGCCCGCGCAGAAGCATTTTGATGATGTTGAGGTTGGTGGGCGGAGCCTCCTGACGGTTTTACTACCGGTTCTATAGAACCGGTGCGAACTGGGGGCAACCCACCACTGGCACTTGGTCTCTAAAAGGTTCGCCATCGCTACCCTATATTGTGCCAATGTATAAGCTAGGAAAGGGAAAGAGATAAACCGCATACAGCTTCTACTGTGTATAAGTTTACAAACACTTTAATATTTCACTCCTATAAAAAGTTAAGCCTAAGGCCAAATCCCATTATTTTTATTCATATTATTTTTACCCTAAAGTGTGCTTAGTTTAGGCTTCTACAGATCAACTGCCCAGAAAGGAGATCTAGCAAGTAGGTTATTTGTTACTTCAGTATGTCACAAAACCAGGTTTGGGCAGTCTTGATTGGTCGGTGTTGTGGGAGCCCTGGGTGTGTCTTTTGTGCTACATGCATTGTTTTGCATGTGCCCAGTCATAAAGCCTTTGGTGCCCTAGAGGCATTCTGGTAAATAAAGATGATAGAGTTGGTACTTGCTGTGCAGCATGCCAGCTACGCTTTTATTATGTTTTAATTAAAAGATCCTTTAAAGCAAAATAAGAAGTTTGCCAACACGGAGGGAGGTGTCAGAAGGATGCTGGTGCGCACAAGCTCTATATTGCTGACCCTGCATTGAATTAACATGCGTGCAGCTCCATTTGCGCGAGCAGCAGGTGTGTGTGCCCGCCCCCACGCAAATGGAGCTTGCACGTGCACTTGCCACTTGTGGGGAACCACCCCCCTCCCCCCCCCCCCCCCCCCCCCCCGCCAGTCTGCAAAGCCAGAAAGATTGGGGACTGCTGCTATAGATGCCTATTTTGTGGGAAAGCTAACACTTTTAGCTCAACGTGAAATTAATGTAAGCGTTGTAATATGCAAGTCATATGCCTATATACCTTCTGTAAGTGCATTTTGTACTTTCTTTTCAAACTACCTTGAGTGTAAAATTATTTATAAAGATAATAAAGGTGGGATAAAAATAAAAATGAATAAATAAATATAGCTGATTTTCTTATTCTCTGCTGTTAAGTCATACTGACTAATAAGAATGACCTAAGATTACTGAGCAAGAGTAATGGCATCAACTAAAGGTCAGAGCTGGGAGTATCCACTTTCAGTCTAATTAAAATTCTGATACATGTTGTAATTTATTTTTTATGATTTATAGATTGCCTTTCAGCACATGGGTGCTCATTAAGCTCTGGGTACAGTCAGGTTTATACTGCTGTTGCTGCAATCTAGCCTATCCATTCCTGGCCTGTTTGCTGTGTTACACAAGGCACTTCTCTTTTAAGATAACAACCACAGTATGGCCTTATATTCTTTGTCAAAATAGTCTCTGGCCATATCTGTTAAGAAATTCAGAAACCACAAACATGGTGTTTTTAAATGATAATATAATCTGCATCCGAATTTAATGGCCATGTTTCCTTCCTTCTTGAACCTTCAGATAGGGCAAAATTGAGCTCGTCTAAGTACAGAGCAGTGTTATGTTTTTGCTAGGCTGACTTTCTGAGCAATGGCTTACTTGAAATTTAAAGTAATCCAGTGACCATTTTTAGTTTTGTGGAAGTAGTAAGGAATCATTGATGGTTCCTACTGAAAGACCTACTGCCAGAGGTAATAGCCCTCATAAAGATAGGTATCCTAAGATCATAGAGCTGCTCTTGAATGACATTACATGGGCACTGGGTTTGATAGACTGCATCTGTTGTTCTGATGTTCTCACCCTCTTGTGTGGACCCTTGCACTTCCTTGGAAACCTATGGGAGAATTTTCATTAGGAATGCTTGTGTTATTGGACAACTTTTGGTAGAAATCTGTTTGTCCATCAAAAGTAACCTGGTCTTCAAAGGTTATGCTCCATGACTTTTTGCAATATATGTGAGGGATTAATGTCAGGTATAAGGAACTGGGTTTTATTAGAAATGCAGTCCCTTGAAGATGGCGCAGAGCCATGATTTAGATCCAACTACTTCATGTTCACATGGAGTGCTAAATTTGGAAAGGCAGTGAAGCTCTAAAGCAGCCTTTCAGCTTGGCATTATTTTGCTCAAAAGGCAGAGCCTTAACCCAACTATCCTTGTTCACAGAAAATGTTAAACATTAAAAGACGCTGGTTAAGGATGTTGAGAATTATAATTTGATACATTTGGAGGGTAGAAGATTGAGGAAAATTGTTTGAGGGACATTTATGTCACCAAAGAAAAGAAAGGCCTTTACTACCCATGTTTCCCTGAAAAGAAGACCCGGACTTATTTTCTTTTGACCCCTGAAAAAATAGCTAGGGCTTCTTTTCAGGTGGGTCTAATTATTGACTCACCTCGCTGTGGCAGCACCAAGAGCCCTGCCCAGCAGGAGCCCGCTGCTGGCCTACTTCTGCGGCCGCTTATTGCCGCTTGCACATGTCGCCCCCAGCCTCCGTTTAGCCGTCAGAGCCTTCTGGAAAGCCCTCTGCAGCTGAGAAATGGGCTCCGGATTGACACGCATACCTCCCTCGGCTTCCGTTTCACCATCAGAGGCCTTCCGGAAAGCCCTCTGCAGCCGATAACAGATAACTGCTGTTGTTGGCTGCAGAGAGCTTTCCGGAAGGCTCTGACAGTGAAATCAGAGGTGGGTTTCAGCAGGTTCTGACCAGTTCTGGAGAACTGGTAGCAGAAATTTTGAGTAGTTCGGAGAACCAGTAGTAAAAATTCTGACTGGCCCCGCCCCCATCTATTCTCTGCCTTCCAAGTCCCAGCTGATCAGGGAGAAATGGGGAATCCCTTCCCCTGGAGTGGGGTGGCAATGGAGATTTTACAGTGTCCTTCCCCTGCCACACCCATCAAGCCACACCCACAGAACCGGTAGTAAAAAATTTTGAAACCCACTACTTGGTGAAATGGAGGTCGGGGCAATGCACGCATCAATCCGGAGCCCGTTTCTCAGCTGCAGAGGGCTTACCGGAAGACTCTGGCGGCGAAATGGATGCGTGTGAGCGGCGGCAAGCAGCCGCAGAAGAAATGGGCTGCAGAAGAAGCAACTGCAGAAGAAGGCGGGGCAGGTGTCAGAGTGTGCGAGGCCTGGTAAGTAGGGCAGCTCCACCCCTCCATCCCCACCCTAGCTTAATTTTTACCTCGCCCCACCCCCTGCACCCCAGAGTGGGTAGGATCTTAATTAGGGCTAATTTTGGGCGTAGGGCTTCATTTGAGCACATGCGTTCAAAAACATGATAGGGCTTCTTTTTGGGGTGGGTCTTGTTTTAGAGGAAACACGGTATATGTAATTTAGATAGTTAAATATAATTTCAAACGATAAGGGTGCGACAGTTTTAAATGTCCCATGACATTGGCAAAAGATTCAGCTGTGACGATTCCTATTGCTTTTGTGGGAGACAGATCATAAGATACCATATAGTCCTGTGCTTGCTGTTGTGGGGTGCTACTGATTGTTGTGGGGTGGACACCAACGTTTCTAAAGTCTCAATATTGTTTGGGTGCCTGCCTGAATCTGTGTTTCTTTGTTTGGGCTCAGAAACATGTTTCTTTCTTCGCAGGTGAATGGGCAATGTATGGAAGGCAAGCAACATTCAGATGTTGTTTCAGCCATAAAGTCTGGTGGAGATGAGACCAAGCTGCTGGTAGTGGATAATTTAACAGATGAATTCTTCAAGAAGTGCAAAATCATCCCCTCTGAAGCACATCTGAAAGGTATAGCAGCCGTTTGCTAAAGAAGATATTATTGTGGTTTGGGCGAGATTTAAAGAACAACTCCTTCCTAGACAGAGATGCTGTGAGTGTGTTTGAATGCAAGTGTGAGGCGAACATGGGCCTACTGGATAGGCTAGCAAAGAGCCCCTGACAATTCTCATTTTCTGCCTTAGAGTCCTGTACCTTATGTTGCAGGAGAATGGTGCGGTGTAGCCATGTCTGAGTCTTGAGTGGAAATAACTGATCTCACCAGAAACAAGACAGGAATTAGCAGCCCCTTTAAACATTAGATAAATCCCAATAATGCAGAATGGCCAGGAACAACGTGATATGTGAACATCCTCAATAGTTGTGGTATTTGGCATAAAAGAACTAAAAAGAAGTGGGAGCATGTCATTGGCCCATTCAGAAAGGCCGAGTTCATTGTTAAATGAGTTACAAGATGTTCTTCCATCTTTAGGAATGTAAGAAGCTGCTTAGTTTTGAATCGCCCTCTTGGTTTATTGAGCCCAGAATTATGGGTACAGACTGGTAGCTGCTGTCCATGGCTCAGGACAGTTTGCCTAGCTCTTCCTCAGGACAGTCCTGAAGGGACTGAAGTTAGATTTTTTTTTTCTCTGTATTCAAAGCATGTGCTCTACTATTGAGGGGTATATTTTCCATCAATAGTAGAACAAAAAACTCCTCCCCCCCAAATTCTGAGTTAATGTTCTCAAATGCTGGTTTGTTCTACAGATAAATGAATGCTAAATGAATGCTAAATTCATTTAAATGAAATTAAATGTTGGATATATAAGCCAGTAGGCCTGTCTCTGAAAATCATGTATTGCAGTGGTGGGTTTCAAAATTTTTTACTACCGGTTCTGTAGATCTGGCTTTGTGGGTGTGGTGTGGCTTGGTGGGCGTGGCTTGGTGGGCGTGACAGGGGAAGGTTACTGCAAAATCCCCATTTCCTCCCGATCAGCTGGGACTTGGGAAGCAGAGAATAGATGGGGGTGGGGCCAGTCAGAATTTTTACTACCGGTTCTCCGAACTATTCAAAATTTCCGCTACCGGTTCTCCAGAACTGGTCAGAACCTGCTGAAACCCACCTCTGATGTATTGATAACTGGGAGCTAGTCTTGGGAATGCCTGGCTGCTTTCCACACAAATAAGAGTCTTTCTCTATCCTCCTTGCTCTCTACACCCAGACACAAAATAGAATTTTCCTAAAAACAGAAAGGCATTTAAGCCATGCTGGTTTAAATGATTGAGATGAACTAGCACAAAGCACATTTGAGGCACATCAAGCTCTATAACCTTGCATTGGATCCCCAGCATCACAGCAATGAAAGGATAAAAAAAACCAAGAAGGCGAGAGACACATGCCATCTTATCCTTTTCACATGTTCTTGGCGCTCAGATGTCAAACTAGAGCTTGTATGGTTGTTGAGATCTGCAGGCAACAGGTTTGGGGCAGGGGCTCTGTACTTTGCAATTTTACTCTTTGAGTGTTGATAAAAACCGAGAGGCTCAGGGAATGTTGCTGCCAGGATTTTTGATTTGTGTTTTTTGGGGTCAACCATTTCTGGATTAAGCTGGCAGAGTCATTGTACCCAGGGGTGAAATGCTACCAGTTAGCACCGGTTCGGGTGAACCAATAGTAATAAAATCTACCGGTTTGTCCGAACCTGTATTTCCGACAATCAGCTGTGCTGCATGATTTACATTCGCTAGAAAGCAGGAAATCCTGTTTTCTAGCAAATCTAAATCATGCGACACAGCTGTTCCCCCCCCCCACCCGCTGTTCTACTTACCTTCAAATGGCTCCTTTTTCTGTGTGAAGCACGTGTTTGGTGCACACAGTGCATGCGTGTGCGCAGCATGTGTTGTGCGCACGTGCGGGCACCAAACCGGTGGCAACCCACAGAGGATTTCACCACTGATTATACCACTGTTTTAATCTCTATTTCATCAAAGCAGCAGCAGCAAATGTTACATTGCCAACATTAACAGTGCATTCATGGGCATGGAGAGTACATATGACCTGCAGGTTGCCCATCCCTGCTCTAGATTCTGGCCTTTGAAATTTGGCCTTAGAGTTCATGCCTGGCATACAGTGAGGGCTTCCCAAATTGTCTATGTCCTGGAGGGGGAATTCCCTTTATCTCCTGAGCAGGATTAAGATTAGTGGATGACTGTGGTGGAATCTGCGCCTTTAAGAGATGTCCAAGGCATCATGTGTGTAATTGAGACAGATTTACAGATGGGGATCATAGATGGATACAGTGATAGAACTTTGATTCTGTCAATTACTTGCTTAGGCTTCTGTCCGGAATATCTGGACAGTGTCTTTTTCTCTCTACACAATGTAATTCTTGGATTAAAAACGGAAGGAAGGAAGGAAGGAAGGAAGGAAGGAAGGAAGGAAGGAAGGAAGGAAGGAAGGAAGGAAGGAAGGAAGGGAGGGAATGAGTTTTTCTTAGGGAGGATCCTCGTGTGAAAATCTCTTCTAGGTAGTCCTCAATTTATGACCTTTCTTGTCAAAGTTGTTAAGTGAATCACTGCAGTTGTTAAATTAGTAAGTGTTGTTAAGTGAACCTGCCTTCCCCATTGACTTTGCTTGCCAGAAGGTTGCAACCCCCCACCCCACCCCCGGGACACTGCAACCATCATCAATATGAGTCAGTTGCCAAGCATCTGAATTTTGATCACATGATCACAGGGATGCGCTTACAGTCATAAGTGTGAAAAATGGTTGTAAGTCACTTTTGTCAGTGCTTTTTTTTAGTGCCGTTGTAAATTGGACCGGTCCCCAAATGAACTGTTGTAAATCAAGGACTACCTGTGCTAGATTATACATATGGATCGATTGACCTTGGGAAGGATTTTTGTTCTTGTGTGAACAAGTTGGGGCTATATGTCTGTGTGGAGGCAGAAGAGATTGCTGTCCATTTTAACTGCACCATGATTTCCGGCCCTTATTCCTCCTGTGTGAGGGCGCTTTTTCTAGCAAGACCACATTCTTCCTCTTATCAACCCACATAGATGGTTTTGTGTTTATTTTTGTCTGCAGAAGACTTCGTTTATGGAAGGGTCAGTAGAAATAGTTCCGTAATGCAAAAAGAATCCATATAGCCATTATGTTCTATGTAGTCATTGTATATTTTACTTCAGAATTAATTGGGCAGGAAGAAGTAATTCAGGGGATGAGATCTTTTTAATGATGATTAAATAATGCCTTAATAGAGGGCCTTACCATTAACTAAATAGTAACAGCTACCACAATGCATAATGAGGGAGATGCTTGGATCTTGAAGAGTGGCTAGGAATGGCTTATTTTAACACATCGCCCAATCCATTTCCTTATGTGACATTATTAGAAACAATTAAATCCTTCCTAAGTGTGTGGCCGGGGTCAAATAAGTTTGGCATCCATATATAAGTGGAAATTATTTTCTGGTACTTGGAAAAAGTAGGTTTCTAGGTTAAACATAATTTTTATGATTATGGTAATCTAGTTTTTAAAGAAAGGATCATATGGGGGAAAACATCTGTCCTGGGCTTGATGGAAGAGTCTCTTGTGCATGCTCTGCGTTGGGAAGAAAGGAACTGGATCAGCAACCAAGTCACTCTGGAAATGTCAGGATTTCAGTCCTATCTCTAGTAGGGCATGTATAAGACGCCATCATTCATGATTCCACTTCACAGGGCTCAAGGAAAGGACCACCCAAAGTCCCTCCGCTCCATAGAGAGAGGAATACAGAGTAGTTTTGCCAGAGGGAAGAGACCAAAGAGAAGAGTCCTCTGATGCCAGATCATTGAATCAGAGGAGTGAAGCATGGGGAGAGAAAAGGCTATGCATTACGGTATTGACATTTGACCCTCAGGGATCTTCCAACCAGCAGCCTTTTGCCAAATAAAATGTTCTGTTTTGCTCAATAGCTCTGAGTTGAAAAGGCACAACAGCACTGAGTCATCTAATTACTAAATTATTTAAATGACTTTCAAAGGCTAATTATTAGTTTTTAAGAACCTGAGCAGTTCTACACCTCTTAGTTTGCATGGCTCTCTAGCACTGAGTCAGTATGTAGAACTACCTTCCAATTTCACATATGGGAAATGTATTTCATTTCTGATTTGTACTAGGATATAATTAATGACCAATCATTAATTCTGATTTGTACTAGGATCTAATTAATGACCAATTAAACATTTGTCTCTTGACAAGAAAGTTCTCATTGAGAATCCAGATTGGGGATAAGGCAGGAATAGTCCAAGAAAGAAGAGCTTCCTATTTTATGATTCCCTGGATCAAAGCTGACCTTTATTACACAATTCATTTACTTCCTTTAGAGCACTACAGAGCTGGAGATATTGTTGCTTTGTATTGATCTCTTTCCACAAGATGCATCCTCAAACCGACATCTCTTATACAACATCTTTTTGAATTTGGATTGCCTGCTTTGGGATCCCATGATGGAATAGTTATGGGTGGCAGATGGAGGGAAGCATTTCTGGAGCATCAGTGGGACAAGATCAGTTACCTAAGAAAGAGGAACAGTGCTCTTTGGAATCTCTTAATCCATTTAAGCATTCCTCTTCTAAATAGAATTTGTTGCTTGTTAGCAGGTGGCAGCACCTAGTTGATTTTGATTGTTCTAACAAGGTAAGCAAGGTTTGGTCATGGTTTGTCCTTGGCTAAATAACCATCAGGAAATCCCTAGGCTGAGAAGTTGAAGAATCATCCCAGAAAAAGGCAAGATTGCCAAATCAACTGCTTGGATGCTGTCCCTAAGTATCTCCCTTGACTCCCTAAATTAGCCATCAGTAGACCAGAGGTGAAATCCAGCAGGTACCAACAGGTTCTGGAGAACTGGTAGCGGAAATGTTGAGTAGTTCGGAGAACTGGCAAATCACACCTCTGGCTGGCCCTAGAGTGGGGTGGGAGTGGAGATTTTGCAATATCCTTCCCCCAGGAGTGGGGAGGGAATGGGGATTTTGCAGTATCCTTCCCCGGGGTGGGGTGGGAATGGAGATTTTGCAATATCCTTCCCCTGCCACGCTCACCAAGCCATGCCCACCAAGCCACACCACACCACACCCACCAAGCCACACCCACAGAACCGGTAGTAAAAAAATTTCACCACTGCAGTAGATCATAGAAATAAACATATTTACACATATTCAAAAGAGACAACAAAAAACTAAGAAGGAAACAAGTCTCCAATACATTTTGTAAACCAACACTTAGATGAAGGGGGAATAGCACTAGACAAACAAGCAGTAAACAACAGCCTAATCAAAAAACTACCAGGAAGAAAAACACACACCAGTTTGACATCTGGGGCAGTGGTGGGATTCAAAATTTTTTACTACCGGTTCTGTGGGCGTGGCTTGGTGGCCATGGCATGGCTTGGTGGGCGTGGCTCTGTGGGCGTGGCAGGGGAAGGATACTGTAAAATCTCCATTCCCTCCCCACTCTAGGGGAAGGATACTGCAAAATCTCCATTCCCTCCCCACTTCAGGGGAAGGATACTATAAAATCTCCATTCCCACCCCACTCCAAGGGAAGGATACTGCAAAATCCCCATTTCCTCCTGATCAGCTGGGACTTGGGAGGCAGAGAATAGATGGGGGTGGGGCCAGTCGGAGGTGGTATTTACCAGTTCTCTGAACTACTCAAAATTTCCGCTACTGGTTCTCCAGAACTGGTCGGAACCTGCTGAATACCACCTCTGATCTGGGGAATGAACCTACAGAGGTGGCAATATTATTGCTGCTGTTTCTTTGACTTGTGCCACAATGAGTCTTGATGCTATTGTAGTGCGACATGCAAGACCTAAGGAGGTGGGAAGGAATTACATTCTCTCTTAGCTGATAACAACCCTGTGTCCAGCTGACGTTCTCTTTGTTCCTGAGAACTTGCCTATTCTGGATGGAGACTCTGTGCCCTTCTAGTTTGGCTCTGAGCTTTGTCTCACCTAAACCAGAGCCAAAACTATACTTGGATTATGAAAGATGGCCCATTTGTTTTATTTAAAGGTGTCATAATGTTTTGCAATTATGTGCAACATGCTGTAATTGGAAGGGGAGCCAGGGTCTAAAGAGTTAGGCAGGCTTCCAGCTCAGTCTAGTTTTTTGTTTAAGGCAACATGGGGACATGTTTTTTCGCTCCTTCCCTATAACAAAAGATTGATTGTTGTGGCACCAGCCACCAACAGCCATTTCCTTCAGTCCTTGTGCATTGTTTGTGTCTTTGGCAAGTACACCTCAGAATTATCTCTGATTGTTGCTAAACCACAACTCCAACGCCAGCTAACTGCCTTTTCTTTTTCTTTGACGACAACACAGTATCCAAACCAGAAAGACATGGATTCTGCCTGCTGTTCTTATTTAATTTCTCAGCGAACATGGTTGAGAATTAGAGCCGACCTTGAGTGAAAGTTGTTGCATTGGGGGATGTGAATTTTTAGAAAGGGAGAGGAAGTAGATCAGGAAGCAGATATTTGGATCCAAAGTAGATGAGCACAAACAAGAGACTTTCTTCAGTTTTTGGACTGAGTACATAATTTCCACTGTGTCACTGGTGAAGATTTATTGACAGAATCCAGAGACTTGTGGAAACCAGTTGAACAACTGGGGCACTTTGGCTGAACTCTCACATGATGCCAAACGAGGATTATTGCAGAAGCCCTCATGGCCTGGTTCATACTTTACTTTTAAACCAAACGAAATGCAGCTCATTGTGACTTTCCCCACTGCTGAGCTAACATTTTTCTCTTCCTGTCTTGACTTGTGGTAACTTATGGTCACGTAAAATGGTGGCTCCCACTTCCGCTCTGTGTCCTGGCTTTGAATCTGATCTGATTCCCCTGCCAGATGTCAGTCAGGGGGAGGAGTTAAATGACAAGCATTGCGCTGTTGCCATGCAAGTGCCATCTCTTTTGTATGTCACGCATACAAAAAGGGAGGTGGTTTATGTCGTGATTCTGGATCGGGTCCTGTGTATTCCTCTGTTTGTGCCCTGGTTAAATGCAAGAGGGGGGCAGCCTGTAGTGTAATATGTAAATCTGGCCACTGTATTGGTTTCATAGCAACCAGGTCTTAACAGGCCTCTTTCAATATATCACAAATTTAATTCAACAACTTGCTTTTGCAGTTTTCAAACTTTTCATTAGCATTCATGAATGCACAGAAAAGTTGCTTTAAACCAGATCAAGCCTCAGTCTGATGGAGAGTAATTGTCCTGCTTAGCAGTGGCTCTCCATGCAGAATTCCCCATCCTTTGCTACTTCACCATTTTCCTGGAAATGCCAGGAACAGTACCTGGATCCTCTAGCATGCAAAACGAGTGTTGCACCACAGATTTGCAGCTCTAGACCCTGAGTCACTTCCTGTAACGACTTTCCAAGAGTTGAACTCAATTCAACGTTTGTGAAACAGCTAATTATTCCACCACGGTTTTCCTTTTGATTTAATTCCATAAAACAATGCCAGTGGTTGAAAAGTGCCAAATGTTAGATATCAAAAAAATTGAATCAGATGCAAAAGAAGAGAAAAATATCAATACTATAAAGGAATACTAACTCTGTGAGCTCATAGAGGATGTTCAGAGGAAGATTTAGGTTAGAACAGCATATCTGATAAAAGACTAGACAGAGTTAAGCAAGAAAAATCTTGGGGCAGGGACAGAGGATTTGGCATCAGCAGTTACTTAGAAGAACTGAGAAGATGACTGCAAAGATTTCAAGGTTTATGGTGTATGTAAATAGCTCCCATACTTATATAAAGTTGGCTTATATTCATGAAGCTTTTGAAGTTTACTGGGGGGAAAAAACTCAAAGTGAAACACAACTTGCAGAAATAAAATAATCTGCAATAGTAGACATTCTGTTAAAATGTCTTAACAACTATGCGGTTGAGTTTTAGAACTGCTGGCAGACAGTCATTTCTGGTCAAAATAGCCTTGGTAATAAAGCTGAAATCCAAATCTTCGGGCATGCAGGTCTTGTGAAAGGATTGCCAGGTATGAACACCTGCCCATCCCAAATCATTGCCCTACACCTTAGCCTTTTAGGTGGCTGCTATCAACCCCAAGAAAGCTTGGGAAAATGGATAGACATTAATACGTTGCTGCTATTGCTCCATGGCAGAATGTCATTCACTCACCTGTCACTGCATTAAAGCAGCTCTTCCTATTCTCACTTTTGGGGTACCCCATGAGGTGTGCAGTAAAAGCATGAATGGCAGAGTAACAGCAAGGTGAGATTGTGCTAGGGAGAATTGTGCTTGGTCTACATTCCATGGCTCATGATACACTTCTTCAGTTTGTGCCCTGCCTCAGATGTTTTCTATAGAATTATAGAAAACGTTCTGCATAAAATCCATGAAATTCCATACATTTATTTGTTACAGTTGGTTAAAGTTGCAGTGTGCAATTACACACTCCAGAAATTTGAGTGGTTTAGACACGTTAAATGGGAGAGTCTATTCCATGTTAGGTTGGGGAGGATATGGATTTGCTACAATATTCACTGGGTGATCTCAGTGATCTCTCTAACCACAGCTTGCTTTCCAGAGATTCTATGAAAATAACGCAAAGGCAGGAGTAAAACCACACTTGTTCCCAGTTCTCCTTGAAGGCAGCTGTGCTATAATTGAAAATGTAGCAAATCTCTGTATGTGGGCAGGAATAATTGCATCAGTGTTTCAATCTGATCACCTGCCTTTTGGGCGATTGAGAAGGGAAAATACCTGTGGCCGATACTGCCTAGATGGTTTTGCAATTCACGCCTACCTGTATGGCATGTAGGCCAGAGGCGTTGCTGGTACTATTTGCCTAACACAAAATTGTGAGAGATTGTAATGGTGCAAGGCACTCACTGAAAACCATACACACTGGGCCAGTTTTGGAGGGATCTAAGGGCCATCTAAGGGGTGTGGTGGCTCAGTAGCTAAGATGCTGAGCTTGTTGATCAGAAGGTTGGCAGTTCAGCGGTTTGAATCCCTAGTGCCACATAACGGAGTGAGCTCCCATTACTTGTCCCAGCTTCTGCCAACCTAGCAGTTCGAAAGCACGTAAAAAATGCAAGTAGAAAAATAGGGACCAGTTTGGTGGGAAGGTAACAGTGCTCCGTGCACCTTTGGCATTGAGAGTCATGCCGGCCACATGACCATGGAGACGTCTTCAGACAGCACTGGCTCTTCGGTTTAGAAACGGAGATGAGCACCGCCCCTAGAGACGGAAACGACTAGCACGCATCTGCAGTGGAACCTTTACCTTTACCTTAAGGGCCAAATGGGTGTTTTAAGCAACTGGAAGGCACTGATTTGACCCCTTAACCCCTAATAGTCCCCATTTAAGGTACCTTTGGTCCCTGGATAAAAGTGTGCAGGGGAATACATCCATCCATCCAATACATACATACATACATACATACATACATACATACATACATACATACATACATACATAGAATAAACTGTATAACAGTGATCACCTACCCAATCTGGTGATTTCAAATATTATCTGTTCTGCTCCTTAACCAATTTCCAAAGACAAAAAAGTTGTCAATTTTTGCCATATATTGGATCTGCTCTGTGGAAGTGACTGCAGAGAAGGGTGTGCTTCTTTATGTATGCATGTGTGTGTGTGTCTGTGTGTGAGAGAAAGAGGGGGGGGAAGGGTTCTGATGATGGGATATATTTCTGTAGTAAAATTGGGAGAATCCAGAGGAAGCAATGATCCTTGATGTTAGTGTTTATGGGATATGCTAAGTAGCATTGCAGTGGGTTGTAGAAATCCTGCTAGAAGAAATAAAACTCATTCACTTCTTTTTTTGTTTGTTCTGTTCTTTCTCCCCCTTAGGTCTTTTACCAGAACCAGTTGCCAATGGTGATGTGGAGAAGGTAAAAATTACTGCCAATCACATGGTTCCTTGATAGATGTGTTAGAGTCAACATTCAGCATTGCAGATTCCTCTGCTCTACTGGTGTTGTTATTGGTGGTGGTGGGAGCATCAACAGATTACTGAACAACTCTCATGCCTTCTGAGTCTACATTGTTAGGAAATTTTAACTAGCCTTAGTTTTCCAATACATTCCCACCAGAGATCATACAGAAGCATTGCACATGCCAAGATTGTCTTCAAATAGTTGTAAGATATTTTCTTTCTCCCTGTTTTTTTTTTTTAAACCTTCCCTGTACAAACTGCTCAGAACAGCCCTTGGCTGCCTGCCAGATCAAAAGGTTGAACTCTTCCTAAATTGGTAAAGGAAGGTGGGCTGTGAAATCACTGCTCTTGATGTTCCTGTAGAGAAAAGCAGTCTGAGGAGAGGGAGGGCCGACGCTTTGGAAGGCCTGTCACTCATTTCAGAGCCTGCTTCTTGTCACTGAATAGAATGGTCCATTCTTCACCCGATGGATGGAATCTCACATCTTTTAAAAGGCCAAGTTACTTCCAGTCTGCTTTGAAAAAACAAAGCCTAATTAAAGTCGGAGAAGAAAGAAAATCTCATTAGAAACTTTTTTTAAAAAGGGCTGGGCTGTTTTATAAACATTTGAATATACATTCAGAGACAGAATGAGGATGTTGCCAGACTATGGGTAAACAGGATAGATATGTCATTCAATGTCATTTTTTCCCTAGTTGGTCTGAATGTTCATTGCAAGCCAATAGTTATTGTTCTACACCACAGATGGATAAGTCAGCCATATGACGTAATGCAATAATCACTTTCAGAATCATTTCATATACATCTATAGAACAAATATAGAAATATATTTATTTTACATTCATTTATTTATATCTCACATTTTTGAACCACCCATCTCACTCAGAGAGAGACTTTCTTGTTTTAAAAGACTCTGAAATGCAAATATTCCTTGGGGCAACATTTCAACAGAATTCAAGATCTTTCAGTCTTTCCATTTTCCTCTTTCCCAGAAATTCCTCTCCCAATTTGTCCAGCTTATCTCTTTCCCAGAAATTTCAAAGTTTAATAAAACCTCAATACATGCATAGCATTTTACCAAAAACAGATTGGTTAAATTATGTACATAAGCTGAAATTTGAAATAAGCAGAAGGCTGCTGCAAGGAGTTTTTAATGAACTATTTGCTTATCATTCAAATCTGGACAAATTGTGGTTAGTCTTAACTATATTTAATGGAAACAAGCAAGACTTTAGCCAGACGTTATCAAAGTGGCTTGCTTTTTCTACTCATGAATCATAGTCTAGATCCGTTCCAGTCGGGTTTCAGGCCTGGGTACAGCACGGAAACGGCATTGGTCGCGTTGGTTGATGATCTCTGGAGGGCTCGGGACAGGGGTTGCTCCTCTGTCTTGGTCCTGTTAGATCTCTCAGCGGCTTTTGATACCATCGACCATGGTATCATGCTGCACCGGTTGGAAGAGTTGGGGGTGGGAGGCACCGTATTACGGTGGCTCTTCTCCTTTCTCTCCGACCGGTCACAGTCTGTGTTGACAGGGGGGCAGAGGTCGACCCCGAGGCCCCTCATATGTGGGGTGCCGCAGGGATCAGTCCTCTCGCCCCTTTTGTTCAACATTTATGTAAAGCCGCTGGGCGAGATCATCCGTGGTTTCTGGGTGAAGTACCACCAGTACGCTGACGACACCCAGCTGTACATCTCCACCCCGGACCACCCCAACAATGCCCTTGAAGTGATGTCCCAGTGCCTGGAGGCCGTACGGATCTGGATGGGGAGGAACAGGCTCAGGCTCAACCCATCCAAGACTGAGTGGCTGTGGTTTCCGACGTCCCGATATAGTCAGCTGGTGCCATCGCTGACTATTGGGGGCGAATCATTGGCCCCCACGGAAAGGGCTCGCAACTTGGGCGTCCTCCTGGATTCACGGCTGTCTCTAGAATAACACTTGACGGCCGTGACCGGGAGGATTTTTCATCAGGTTCGCCTGATCCGCCAGTTGCGTCCCTTTCTAGATCGGGACTCCCTACACACGGTCACTCATGCCCTTGTCACCTCTCGTCTGGACTATTGTAACGCTCTCTACATGGGGCTCCCCTTGAGGTGCACTCGGAGGCTCCAACTGGCGCAGAGTGTGGCCGCGCGGGTGGTTATGGGAGCAACGTGGAGCTCCCATGTAACACCTCCCCTGCGCGAGCTGCACTGGCTCCCGGTGGTCTTCCGAGTGCGCTTCAAGGTTCTGGTTACCACCTTTAAAGCGCTCCATGGCTTAGGACCTGGTTATCTACGGCACCGCCTGCTACCACCAATAGCCTCCCACCGGCCAGTACACTCCCATAGAGAGGGGCTCCTCCGGGTGCCGTCGGCCAAACAATGTCGACTGGCGGCCCCTAGGGGGAGAGCCTTCTCTGTGGGGGCACCTACGATCTGGAACGAGCTCCCCCTGGAGATACAGAGGATCCCAGATCTGCGCACCTTCCGCCGCGCGCTTAAAACGTTTTTATTTCATCAAGCTGGCCTGGCCTAAATCTTCTCCCTTTTAAAATTTTTAAATTCAAATTTTAAACACTAATTTTAATTTGTTTAATTATGGGATATTTTTAAAATTTAGCCAAATTGTTTAATCTGTTTTAATCTATTTTAAATTTTGTATTTCTGTGTTTTATCTTTTGGCTGTTCACCGCCCTGAGTCCTTCGGGAGAAGGGCGGTATAGAAATCTAATAAAATAAAATAAATAAATAAATAAATAAATAGTCTAGAGTTTATGATGGCATGATAAACTCTAATAAATAGGGGAAGCAGAAGAACTGGATAGGGAGTGGCTCATTGTAATAATACTTGGTCATGTTTAGCATCTGAATACAGTCACTGGTGTAAGAATAACTGAAGAAAATGCTCTCCCGTGTGGATAACAAATTTATTGGTCCAAAGGCAAGCAACACGAAACGGGAATTTGCTCTAATTTAGCTTGAGGAATTGTGATGCTGGTGGTTTATTTGCTTCTTTCCAAAAAGCAGAACTGGCCAGTTGGTTTAAAAAAGAGAGATGAATTTAGCAGATGAGTAAAAGAATAGCTGCTGAGCATGGACTCATGGGATTGTCACCCCTTTTCCAGAATAATTTCTGTGGCATCCATTCTGTTTCACTTTCTAATTCTATATTGTTTCTAATGCCCTCAAAGTGATTGGTCAAAACAGAAAAGATAGCCCCCACAGCTTCCTTGTCAAATAAAGAAACATTCCCCCTACTAAAAGTTCCCAGGGAAAGTGAGGATTTGCTACTGCCCCCACAGCTCGGAATTCTACAAGAAAAATTCTTTTGAATCAACTTGTTATCCTTGTATGTTAACAAGGTTTTTTTCTGGCCTTGTTGCCAGCAGCTCAGGGGAGAATTTAAATGAACCTTGATACAGCAAACAATGGTCTTGGAGAAGAAAGAATGGACACAGTGTGTTTACTAGACAGACAGACTGACCAGTCCCTTATGGGAAGCTGTGGTGGGATAGCAGTTAACAATTCAGTTGGCAAATAGGACTATGAGATCATCATGACTGGCTAGAAAGAAAGCATTGCAATAAAATGTGTTCAGTTCCATTGCTTTTAATTTGAAATAATGCTGTGCCTACTACTTAAAGTGCCCTCTACTGCCATTAAATTTTAAGTTTTTTCTTTCTTATTTCTAGGGGAGCCTTAGAGATGAACAAATGGAGATTAATCCTGAAAGCCCTTCTAGCCCTGTGACCGTGTCTCCTTCTTCAACTCTAAGTGAACCTTCCATTGAGGTATGAACACAGTCTGGGTGTAGTAGGCAAACGGGAGTGATGAGTGAGGTGAATCACCCAATGAGAGGTGTAGGTAAATATTCCTTCGACTGTCTCAAAGATCAGAAGTATGCATGTGGTACTATTTTGCAATGATGGAGAAGCTAGGTCCCAGTTTGTTTGGTAGAAGAAACATTTTTCTCTTAATTAGTCAGCAATAGCACTTAGACTTATATACTACTTCTATAATGCTTTACAGCACTCTCTAAGCGGTTTACAGAGTCAGCATATCGCCCCCAGCAATCTGGGTCCTCATTTTACCAATCTTGGAAAGATAGAAGGCTGAGTCAAACCTTGAATCGGTCAGGATCAAACTCCTGGCTGTGGGCAGAGTCAGCCTGCAATACTGCATTCTCCATAGTGGTGGAGATAGCATCCAGAAATGGGTTGACCTCGTCTGCTCAGCTGATTGGATGAGTCTGTCAGAGCTGTGACGACACGCCTCTGTTGCTAACGCTCCCCATCTTTTGACTCAGTCCCTCAGCTAGGACAGATGTGTCAAAATTCCTTGCTTTCTCCTTTCAGCATATTTGAACCTTTCAACAGGATATCTGGACTTCAGATACATGAGTGATTCAACTGGCTGACTCCTGATTCCTGGTAGAGTCACTGGATCCCTTTTCAGTGGCGAGGGCTTAGGCTCAAGCTGCTGAAGACCTCCAAGCTCTAGTTTGAACTGTGAGGTGATTAACGGGCATAGGAGTTTCACGCTCCCTACTCTAACATAAGCGGCCAACGGAGCTTTCGCGCTGCTCACTTGACAGCTCCGGAGAGCTTGTTGACTAAGCAGAGCTTTTGCGCTCACCACTTGACAGCTCAGGAGAGCTTGGCGGCCAAAGGAGCTTTCACGCTCCTCCCTTGACAGCTCCGGAGAGCTCATCGGCTGCAGGAGCTTCTCGCTCCTAGACTTATTGCGGGTAGCGTGGCTAAGGATCCACTCCACGCCAGTTTCTTTTTGTGACTGCTTGGAAAGATTACATTACCCATATTTTTTTTAAAAAAAAGAGGCTTGTTAAATACTTCTACTTTTTATTTGGTGAGAAATAGCTATTGGAGATTTAGTAATGATTAGGAACTGTCAGATGTTCCTGCTGAAAACAGTTGAAGGGAGATGATTTGCTATTTATACCCAACACTAATCTAAGGATCTGGTTGTGTCCAGGGAGAGTTATTATTAAAAAGGGGGGACTAATATCCCCTTTGCCCATAAAGCTAATTTGATATTAGGCAGAGTCACCCAACCCATTTCTGCATATATCCAGTGGAAAACCCCAAATGTGGCATATTTTAATACTGTGTGAGTGTGGCTTTTGTTATCCCAAAAGTGGATGAGGCTGAATTCTGTGGATGCCTAAAAGAGAGTTATTTAGCCTAGCCTTACAGGCTTTTTCTGCAGACTCCCAAAGTGGATTAGATCCTTTTTGTAAATTATGGTGCTGTTGTGATCTTGCAGAACAACTTGGCATTGCTGTGTGACTTAAACACTAAGACAAAACTGATTTTTAATTTGATTTCCTTTGATTAGCCTAAAGCTATCTGTGTTTAAAGTATTTTTTTAAAAAATTAACTATTGAATAGCAATCAATAGATGTGTTTGCATGTTAAATGAAACACAAATTAGGGGTACAATGATCTTTGAAAGGATGTGGGTATTTTAAATAGAGAGTGTTAACCAGTCTAGAATCATGGCCTATAGTCGTGGCTGTGTGAGTTCTTGAACCCAGACAGGAAATTAAAGAACAGTGACCCACCTCACTGCTCTCTGACCCTCCAGCCTGTGGTCACAGAGCAGGACATCAGAAAGAGATCACAAGCACAACTGCTTTTGCTGCAGTGTTTCCATTGTCACTTGGCTGCTCCTTTTTTTCATAGGTTCACAATAAGTTCTTTACAATAAAAATTTAAAAAGTAACCTTTTTAAGGGTTAATATTTTCCCATCCTGCAGCAAACCAAATTATTCCAGGCCCTTTATAATACCAGCAGTCGAAAATAATCTGCCTGCTAGGTGCCTTCAAAGGCTTCATACTCATGGCTACTCCAAACTATAGAGAATTGTGTCATGTAAATGCACTCAGTAATAAGTGGGTTGTTTCAGGAGAATAGCTGATAACTGTTGGGTACTTTATTGTCTGTTTTTGCACCCTTCCGTTCTTACAGCTGTACTCTCAAGAGAAGGAGGACAAACTCAGCACCACATCCGATCCCATTCTTGACTTGGACATCCCACTGGCAGTAGCCAAAGAGCGCGCCCATCAGAAACGTACCAGCAAACGGGCACCACAAATGGACTGGAGCAAGAAAAACGAACTCTTTAGTAATCTGTGAAACCCCCAAGCAGGGAGGTGATGTAAGGGCAATATTGGAAAATCTGGCCAGATCATGCCTCCCCCTTCCCCTTCTCCTACGCATTCCTGTCCCCTAGATACATTTCCGTGCCCTTCTTCTCTTCCCCTCCCTTTGCTTGGAAACGTAGATGCAAGATCTCGTCTTGCCCTGGGTCACCTGAAAGGGCAAACGCATGGCCTGATAATGCTGCCTGCACTATGTTGGAGAAGCAGTTGTATTTAAAGAGGATGATGAGACATTTTCATATACCCTCTATAAATAGCTTAAACTAGCTTGTGGATGTGAATCCAAACTGAATTTGGTGTCTCTGTTGGGTCTGTAGTAGAAGACACATACACATATCTATATATAAAGAGAATGTATGCACAGGACAAGGATGTAATACGTCAGGTGCCACACTGAAAAGGGGGACAGTGTGATGCATAGCTGTACTGTAGGTCCATTAACTCTTAAGATAGCTGAAGTTAAACATTCTAAAACTATTAATCCCTATAGATCTCAACTGGCTCTCTTCAGAGAAATCATGTTGGATGCTGATTGAACTATTCCAGGCTATGTCCTATCAGGACTATAGTCTAAGCTTGCATAGAGTATTTTAATTCCTAATTTGATTACAAATGAACATCCTTTCGTGGGGCAGTTCCTCTGTCCTCTTTTCAAGGAACTGCTTTGCTACGAGTGGAGAGAAACACTTCTGTTGCTCTATCGTCTTCTCTCTTTTTTGGTAAAGACATTCCTGGATTGCCACTGCAAGAAAGGGCTTAGTAGGCAAGACCCAATACTTCCTGCTTCGTGCTTTGGAGGTTTCAAAGTGTGGGAAGAGGAATAATTGAAAGCTGTTGTAGCAACCAGCCTGTGAGATTTGCTTTCTTTTGGCCAGGGGATGTGGTAAGGAGTCGCACCTAATGCAGCAGCTGAAAGCACACAAGGATAATATCCTACGCTCAATTTACTCCAGAAATGGAGCCAATCAGGGTTTTCAATAATCATGATTAATTATTAACAACTTACTGATAATAGTGTTTCATTTCTGGAATTGTTTTCTAATTATGGCTCATTTCCCTGTATCTGTGTATAGTATAAAAATCATTCCTCTTCCATAAATTTCTGTTTTGTTTTTGTTTTCCTTGATTAATGTTTGATGTCAAATGTAAGAGAATCTGTTTACTGGAGCAAAATGCTGCCTTGATTTTGTGTGCTTATTTTAAATTAAGGATTGTTTTTTTTTTTTGAAAGCCACATACACAGGTCACAGTGTATGCGAAAGTTGCAGTCTGTATTAGATTAACCAATCTCTCTAGTCTTATAATTTAACTTATAACCTTAACTGGGGTAGAGTGAGAGCTGTTAATCCAAGGCCAGCAGCTGGCTGATGTAATACAAATAACACACATACACACAATATTTTTCCAGTCTCCAAATAAGAATAGATGAGCTTCTGTCTCTGCTTGTTGGGCTGGATAATATATCAGACTTCGGGATGATAGAAATTACCATTTTACCTGCAATTGTTTTCTTCTTTTTTTCCCCCCTGCCAAATTAGGTGAGCAGAGCCATGTCAATACTCAACCAAAACTAAAAATAAGATTGGTACGGCTATATGTAGGAGAAACTGGGCACCATCATCAACCTCTTTTTTAGCCTAGCTCTGTTTCTGGGGCTGGAGAGATGCATTACAGGATCTGCTTCTGCTGGAAACTAGAACCACAAGCCAGCCTATTCCATAAATTTCAAAGGTTGTGTTTGTAGAATGAAGAAGTCTTGTTAAAACAAGCTATATATTTAAGGCCAATGTGCCGCTCTTAGCCAGAAAGTTCAAGTAAGAAATTACGATTTTGCATTCATATTCATCAGGTGATGCCAGTAAGAGTAGAGAAGCAATTTGTCCACAAGACTGTCCCACCTTTCATTTTCCATGTGTTGCTTGCTGTCAAATGTGATATAATGTGATTATCTCAAGTAGTTCCCAAATCAATGTTCTGGGCCTTGTACTTGGGAACCATTTTACAACAGGCAATCAGGCAAAGGCCAAAGAAGATTAGGAAAGCAAAGGCTTTATTAAATGGCTCTCCCATTCTTCATTAAAGCCCACAAGGATCTTACCCCCCTCTAGGTGGCTCAGTGGCTAAAACACTGAACTTGTTGATCAGAAAGGTCGGCAGTTTGGCGGTTCAAATCCCTAGTACAGGACTTCTGCGTGAGCAGGGGGTCGGACTAGATGACCTCCAAGGTCCCTTCCAACTCTTGTTACTGTTATTACTGCTTGATAAAAAGTTGACCAATCTGATTTGTGTGTGTGTGTGTGAAAGTTATTAAAAATGACTGAATGAGTTAGAGTGGGAGAGACTAAGTATCCAAATTCAGGATAGGCAGAGGTAACGGCAGTTTACACCTGAATCCAAGTTGGTTCCCAATTTAGGCACTGATCAGATTTAGGCTCGCTTGGTTTCAAATATGTTTTGAAGCAGGCCATAAGGTTTGGAGAGTGCTTGGGGTTTGCTAACTTAATTATAAATCAGTTGATTGATAGCACCCCATTGGCCCCAAAGGACTTTCTCGTGGGATGGGTTGCCAGAGAAGCCATGTTAATATGTTGCTGCAAAAATAGCCAAGAACCTTATGTCACCTTAAAAGCCAACCTTTTTAATGCTTCTGTGACTTATTATTCATTTAATCAAAGGCACAGTAATAAACCCATCATTTTTCTGAAGAAGTGGACTTGGACTCCATGGAAGTCCATTATTTATTTACGGCATAATCAGTTGATTACATTAATCTACCAGTGGGGCCGCAATAAAATGTGAAGAGCTTCTGGGCACAGCTACTTTACTTAGCTTCCGTCCTGAACTCTTCATTTCAAAATATTTCCCTTTCAATTCCTGCTACTCAAGATCATGAACGGTAAACAGGATCCATCCTAGAGAGACTGTTTGAAGTATGTTTGCTTTTAGAGCTCTGACTTTTCCTCCTCCTGATGAAAACGGTTTGTGCTTTGCAATTATTTTTTTTCCAGAGAGCCTTGGAAACCACCATCCTTATGTGTTCACGTAACATTAATATTGGCTTGAAAGAGAAGCTGGCAGATCCAGCTTTGAGAATAGCTTGTAATGAGGCTTCTTATTACAAGTCAAACTACTTTGGAAGGGCAGAGGGCAGGGCCCACTGATAGGTGGGGATGAGGGTAGATCATGAAGCAACACCAGATTCAAATCTTTGAAGAATTCCCCATGATGCCTTTATAGTTTTAAGCCAATAATCTCTTAGAAAGAGTCACCCTATAATAGTTAAAATCTCCAAATTGTTTCCTTTTAACTAGGCCAGGCCTGATTATCCAGCCGTCACTGTCTGCTTGCCAGAGGGGTACAAGTCACCTGCTGGATATCAGTTTGCAAACTATTTCCATTTTATTGTAGGGTCAGAGCTGTCACACAAATCTTAAACCCGGTAATATTATAAAGACTTTGGCCCACGTCAAATCAGCATTAGCATTTAATAGGCTGAAACCTGCTTTATAATTCCTCAGTGTACCAGGTTGCTCAGCTAATTCATGTGTTCCCTGAAAATGGTGTAATTTACAGCACAATCCTAGGCAAATTTAATGACTGAATAAATCCCATTGTGTACAGTACAGCTTATTCCCAGATAAGTAGATATTAAACTTTCTGCCTTTGCTTAACAAATCCTGCCTGACTTCTAAGTGCAATGTCCAATGTAGTGGAAACTGATAACAACTTACCTGCCATTTTTCTGTCCATGAACTCCAGAGCATCAGGACTTCATTCATGCATCAATAATATATAAACAGCAGTGCAAACAAGAACTACGTCCAGAAACAGCTTTAGAAATGCTAGCCATATTCTGTTTTTTTGAGGGGGGGGGAGGGAGAACAGGTTTTGGCTTTTCACTCAAAGCCAGCACATGGACGTTGGTTGGTTTTTCTCTCAGAAAAGTCCTCATTCCGTCATGGTAGGTTGCATTAAAGTATTATTGTCAGGGCCACATGAATGTTTACTCCTCCTCCTCCTCTCTGTCAGCATATGTCAGTGTGTTTTATGCTGCTCTGATGACAAAACTCTAACCTACCTCAGTAAAGAAGCAAGTAATCCTGCCTGCATAACTTAATTATGTGGCCATTTTTAAGGGCAGCACTCCTATCCAGTGTATGGGAGGGTGGGGGTGGGGAACAGGTATCCATGGAACATTAGTTTCTGAGGTGCTTCACCGCTTTAAGTTCTCACTTAGTTTTTTTCTGAAGAAGAAAGAAGAATAAACCAGTCCACCGGTCTTCTGAAAGACTGGTAAATCTCTGTCTAAATGTAGTCCATCTGATAGATTGGAGGTGGGGTAAAGGATGAAGTGGGAGGCATCTCACATTCCATTTTAAGAGAGTTCCTTCCCACTTTGTCCTGTCAGCTGGGCAAAGTTTTACCAGTCCTCTAGCAGACATGTTCTTTCTTCCTAACACTGGAGCTGGAATGTCTTAGTCAATTTTATCCTAGCTTCCAAATATTCAAGAGTGATACATGCTCCAAGGTAACAAAACAAGGAAGAAAGTAGGCAGGTTTCTCAGTAGAAATCAAGTTTCTCTTACAACTAATGCTAAAATGATCATGATGAGTCATATTTATTGGAGAGACAGTTATGCTTGCAGCAATCTCAACTAACAAATAGGAGTTCACACAATAGAATCTGTGATTATGTCATCACCAAGATTATGATTAAGAAGTTACACATCATTTGTGCACCGAGCCTTGTGTGGGGAGAAGAAGGAAATGCTACTGTTTTGGAATATAAATGGCTGGTCCCTTGGTGAACTGGGGATGATATGGAGGCTACATCATCTAAATTTAATTAGTGGGTCCAATCATTGTTGGAAATATGGAAAACATGAAGGCTCATTTAACCACACATGGTGTGCAAGAAATGAATTACTGGATATAAACACACACAATGATAGAATGTTAAAGATTAATATTTACTGGAACTTTTTTTTATTGAGATTTATGGATAGCCAGTTAAAAAAAACCTGTGGAAGATTGGTTTTGTATATAGTAAATGCAGCAAGACTGTTGCACGCACAAAATGGAAAAACACCAAACTACCCACAATAGAGGAATGGACCTGTGAAGATAATGGAATGAGTAGAAATGGCAAAATTGAACTGTGTGATGGGGACAAGATAATGTGCACTGTTATTAAAGATTTGAAACCTTTTGTGGACTTTTTACTGAGAATTGAGGGGAGAAATGAAGTGATTTGGTGATTTATGGATTTTCTGATTAAAAAGGGTTGAATAATGGGAAGAAGAGAAATGTGTAATTTTAAAGAGGGAGGTGTCAAGATTGATTCTAACTGCTGTAAAGGAGATCAGGAATTGCTTCTTTGCATGCTTTTCTTGTTTCTATCTTATACTTTTTTCGCTGAATTGTTTTCTTCTTTAAATTTCATCTTATCTTTTATATCTGAGAAAACATTTTAATAAAATTATTATAAATGTGATTAGAAGGGTGTCTCCATGCCACGATTAGCAGGATATATGGAGAACCTAAGACTTCTATATGCCTGAATATGAATGCAGTGAGCTGTGGTTACAACCTAGGGCTCTGCTTTGCTAGCATTCAGTGACAAGTAAGCATAAGTAAAACCAGAGCTGCCACTTGAAGATGGGAGGTTGGAAAGAGCTGCACTTACCAAGCCTGTTCTCACCCCATTTGGAGCTCTCCAAACACTCAGCTGAGTGTCGGTGATGAATATGAAACAGCCACAACTATAGCCACAATTGTTGTCTTTCCCCCCACTCCTTCATAGCTGATTGCTAAATAATTCTTGTCTCCATTGTACCTCTGAATTTATGCATGGACTAATCAGGAATTAGAATTAGAAACACAAATTTCCATATTATTAAAAAAAAACTCTTAAGGTAAGGCTTGATATGTTGGATTCAACATTTGTTGCAATCAGCATAAATTTTTCATCATGGCAAGGGTCAAATTGAAGGTCTAGCCTTATGGTTAAGTTGTTCAGTACAGCTGATTTTCTAGTCTAGAATCAAATCTTTTCTGAGAACTTGATATTTATTTACAGAATAACAGAGTTGGAAGGGAACTTGGAAGTCTTCTAGTCCAATCCCCTGCTCAAGCAGGAGACCATGTATGATTTCAGACAAGTGGCTGTCCAGTCTTTTCTTAAAAGCTTCCAGTGATGAAGCACCCACAACTTCTTCTTTTTAAAAAAATATGTTTTATTATAGTTCAAAAAAACAAAAAACAAAGACAAATGTATAATAGTTTTTCTATCACGGTGTAACATCACCAAAATATCCATGTATATATACACCAATAATCAGAAAATAAAAATAGAAAATATTTACAGATTCTTATATACAAATTTACATTTCTGATACTTATTGATTACCCTAATTATACCATCATCTATAATTATAATAGCACCCACAACTTCTGAAGGCAAACCGTTCCACTGGCTAATTGTTCTGTCAGGAAATTTCTCCTTAGTTCTAAGTTTGCTTCTCTTATTGATTAGTTTCCATCCTTTGTTACTCGTTTTGCTTTCTGGTGCTTTGGAAAATAGATTGACCCCCCTCTTCTTTATGGCATCCCCTCAAATTGGACTAAATTATACAATGGATGGGTGAGAATTTTGAAGCTATCTCCACTGTGTTCTGTTTTTCCCTTCCTCATTTGCCTCTTCAGCAAGTGTAGGTCCTGAACCCACCAGCACCTAAAATGTTGATTTGATGAAGGAAAGTGTTTTTGTGTCCCCAGCATAAGTTGCAGAGTTTCCATCACAAGACTAAGGCTGAGTCTACAAAGAGATCTTTGCCTATGAGACACTGAGGACAGCAGTTTCCAAATGAAGCCATGGGTTCAGTGAACATGTGCTACATCTCCTGGTTTATCAGCATGACCTCAGGAGTATAATTTAAAAGGAAGTAGATTGTGTTAGAAAAATCACATGTGCTTTCTTTCCTCAAATGTACTGAAGGACTCTCATTACTGCCAATGTCCTTTATTTCCATGTTCCTTCCATCTTTTAATTATACGTCCTGTTTTTGACATGTGATAGCACCTAACAGACCTTGTTGGAGCTCAGAAACTAAGCAAATTTTGGCCTGATTGCTGCTTGGATGTGAGAAACTCAGGAAATACCAGAGCTATAGGCTACACTAGGAAACGACAGATTATCCTCCAAAGGAAAGCAATGACAAACCATTTCTGCACTGTTGCCAATAAACTTATGATGCAGCCATGTATTCAGACTTCACTCAAACAAACTTTTACCTTCACAAATTCTGCACAGAATTGAAAACAGAACATCGTTTGATTATTTGCATCTGGGCACTAGAAATTGATTTAGTTTTAAAATATTCATTCGCATCCAGTTGATAGTTCTTCTCTATCTTTCACGCTTCTTAACCAAACTAGCTTCTGACCATCTCTTTTACAAATAACCCTGCTTTGACAATCGGTATGCTTGTATGTCCTTTTGTACAGTGCAGTCTTTCATTCATTTCACAAAGACACAATGAGGATGTTTATTCTAGAGTCTGCTGTTCCAACAATTTAATTTTTCTACTTTCCATTGGTTAGTGTTGCAAATAGCACATTTTTGTAAACTGCAAATCATCCTTCAAGTGAGAAGAGAGGGTTAACAACTTTAGTGAAGTTTTCAAATATTCTACAGACAGGAATTGCATCTCACTCCATGGCTGCCCTCTTGCGGTCAGTCCTTGGCACAGGGGTCAGTGGATACAATTTGCTGCTCTGCTGGCTTAAAGCAGGGATCACTCAGCTAGATCCTAAAAAGCATGCTATTGGGAATCACAGGTGAGCCTCAGTAACACCCAGGAAACTTGCAAATTCATTCTTTATTGATTACATCCTTCAATTTGGAAGATTGGGTGATCATTTTCCTCACCCTTGCTGTCAAGTACGGAGCCAAGGCAGGGGTGTCAAACTCGCATCATCACGTCACGTGAAGTATCACAACTTTTCCCCCCTTTGAAATGGGGGTAGGCCTGGCCAGCGCATGATGCATCTGGCCCACGGGCCACGAGTTTGACACCCCTGAGCTAAGGAATGATGTGATTTGAAATTACAGATTGCAAAATCACCAGGAGATTGCCAGTTCATCAATATGCTGGAAGATTATGGAAGTACTAGGCATCTGATGAGCACAAAATTATCATTTTAACAAAATTTAGTTGGAAAAAGTGCAACCAGTCTCCTGAATTTTGGAAATAACAGAAAGTCTAAGTAGGTCGAGGAGAAGCGTGATAGCATTGCATTTTTTTTTTCTGCAAGAAAGTATTCTTTGGGGAAATCTCTTGGGGACTATGCAGGAGGTAAAGCTAAAGGAAAGGGAGTTAGCTAGAGCCAAGAATAGGTGCAAGTAATTATTCTTATTTCAATTAATGGATTTTATTGAGTTCTAAATTTATATGCCATTCCTTGCAATGGCTCTAAGTGGCTTATTTTAAAACCATTTTAAAATGACTGAAAGCAGCAGTGAAACTAAAAGCCTTTTTAAAAAACCACATACAGTAACTCTAATGAGCCTAGCAAAAAAAGGTAGATGTTAAACTCCCCCCCTTCTAAACTGCAGACAAGAGGTGGGGACTGGCTCAATTGCAAAAGCAATTTATTCCAATTTTTTTCTGCCTGTTTTCCAGGCTGCAGGGAAAGGAAGCCAACTCTTATCAGAAGCTTCACAGTTCTCTCGCATAAGTATGTTGCCCTTGCTTTAGAGAGAACAGATTCTTTGCAATATATACTTTTATCCCATTCGCTAGTTATCTCTGTAGCTGGACATTTCATCTTGGTTGAAAACTATGAGACTTATAAGTAGCTCTTCTTGTCTTCTCATCTGGGAAGAACAGGCAGAGATTTGTTGCTGATGTGACTGACAATACCCCTTCAGCAGATCCTGGGATGAAAGGAGTCACCTCTTGAAAGTTGGCAACCACCTCATTTTATTGCTGTTTGCAGCATCCTATGATCACATGACCAGGATTTGTGATGTTTTTTGCTGGTTTCCAGCATTTATTTCCAGTTTACGACAAAAAAACCAAAACAAAAACCACCTATTGGGGGAAATGGATTCATTTAACAACTACTGCATTCACTTAATGACAATGGCATTTGCTGACTGATCACTGCAAAAACTGTCGAAAAAATTGGATCTGGTACAGGGGTGAAATCTAATTTTTTTTCCCTACTGGTTCTGTGAGCATGGCTTGGTAGGCGTGGCCGGGGAAGGATACTGCAAAATCCACATTCTCTCCCCACTCCTGGGCGAAGGATACTGCAAAATCTCCATTCCCTCCCCACTCCTGGGGGAGGGATACTGCAAAATCTCCATTCCCTCCCCACTCTAGGGCCAGCCAGAGGTGGTATTTGCCGGTTCTCCGAACTACTCAAAATTTCCCCTACAGGTTCTCCAGAACCTGTTAGAACCTGCTGGATTTCACCCCTGGTCTGGTCTTGTGATATCTTGACTGCAATGGCTTATGGCCGTAATTCCAGACTCATTTACAGCCTTACGTCGAGGACTATCTGTATTATCGCTACCCAATAGTACATTTTATGTTTTTTTATGTTACCTTGGTAACACTCCAGAGTAGCAGAAAACAAAAAGAAAACAAAAGGGAACCATAATTTGCATATGTTTTGCAAATGGAAATCAATCTGCTTAAAGGGACATTTAGAAATACTAATATTAAAATAGCAACATATCTCCCTCTGGGAAGGATGAGATCAGATGACCTTATGTCAGCTTATCCAGATGTTCTGGTCCAGGTCCAGATGCTAAATGTTGCCTGGCAACGTCAGCACCTGTGTCCTTCCTTCTTGCCCTTCTTTATGTTTTAACTGGATCTGGCTCAGACAGCTGTTCCAACAGAATAGGGCAAAGTGCCATTTTCCTGCCCTTTGAATGGCACATTGGAAGCCTCATTCTGTTAAGAAGGTGAAGTTACTTCAAAGTGTTGGAGAGTCTAAAATACTGGTGATGGCTGATGAAAATAGCCTTCTGGTCTTTTGGCGAACTGCATGAGGCCTTTTGGTGAAGTAGTGAGGTCGCTGTAAAGAAAGTGGCTAAAAATTTTCAGCCTTAGGTACAAAGCCAGGAGGGTGACCTTGGGCCAGTCACTTTATCTCAGCCCTCAGAAGGAGGCAATGGCAAACCACTTCTGACA